GATTTAACAAAATATTTAGAAATACGCTCACTATCTTAATCAAGAAATTCGATTATTTTTGATTAAGCTTCTTGGGGCATGAGATTTCCTACATCATGTTGCATCTAGCTTCCTAATATGTTGAATATACTAAACATGTTTATATCTAATTATTTTCTATCAGATCATGCTAGATATATACCATGCACATAGTAATTGAAGTCTTGGACTTCTCGCAACATCTACCATCTCATTAATATCTGCTTTCTCTTTCAGACTTGCTCCTTACACTTTATATTATTCGCCTATTTACTATATTACACTAAACACTATATAGAAAAATGGACTAGATTTATGAAAGAAATTATTTAATATATCGCTATGTTCATTTAGCACTGATTGAGGTCATTCACAATGTACTTAAAAAAGATTATTTTTTGTGTAGTGCCTTTAACACAAGACATATAAATGTATAGATAACATTGTATTGAATTTAAACCTAAAATAGTGTAGAGTTACGGAAAATTTTAACTGCGAACGGTCGACACATCACATTAAACGACGTCAGTGACAGGAACGTTGCTACCTCGGTGGTCAGTAACAGGACGTCTGTCAGCGTTAATAACTATTTTATAACAAAAACAAAATATTAACTAAATTTAATTAAAAAAAATTATCAACAAATTATCCGGTCACATAAAATTAAATCATACATAAATAAATATAACGTCTTACATACATATAGAATAACGGAGTCCATAACATATACTTAATTAGCGACCTGCTCGTCGCTACATTTTGCTACTGAGCAGTTTTTGTCTATTTTATATATTTTGTTCATATGTAATTATTACATTAGTTGAGTCACAGTTACCGTGTGCTTATTTTGATCTGATAAACTGGTTTTGTGAAAGCGTCAAAATAAATAAAGTTATAATTTAGTAATTTATTAAAAACTAACAAGTGAAGAGTTATTGCGGCCTAATTTAATGGAGATTAAATTTTATTTAACGCATCTTAACATCATAAGAATACTGTATTATTTTTATTTTAGAAATCATAATTTGAAGTGCATGATATATTTTTTAAAAACTTTAAATGAACGAATTTTTAAAACAAATTACATATTATATATAACGATATAAAATTTATATAAAATAAAATAGATATAGCTTGTTCATTAATTAAGTACAATAAAAATAGCTATAAGTTTTTGTCAAAAATTTAACGAAGATTAGATTATATGTGATAATTGTTTTTTTTTACAAATAAACATTGTGTAAGAAACGGTATTAAGAGTGGACATTAAAAACGAAAACAAAATGGCACGCTTCTATCTTAGGGCAATTTAATATGGTCTAAGGTATGTGTAATATATTAATTATTAATAGACATTAAGGATACTGGTTAACGCATTAGAAAGTACCTATATTTAAAAAAAAAAAAACTAAATAGCTCTACAAGAAGTATTTTTATTATTATCTGTATATTTGGCGTAAACCCTTGTGAAGTTTTTGTGTTAAAATACAAAATAGGCACATTTATAATTTTTGGCAAGAACATGGAAAAAATTAAGGTAATATTTACTGCAAAATTCCATGACTTATTTACGATCTAGGCAGATAATTATAAGACCTAGTTCTAGAATACAATTGAAGTGAAATACCTACTTTTTCTTAAGTATGTAGATATAATATTCTTATAGTAAAAGCCATTAGATAAACTCAAAATTCTTATTGTCTAGTCACTTTTAAAATGTATATATATATATAAGTATATTATGGCATAGGTACATATACAGTCGTACAAAGGCATCGATCAGTAATAAAAAACTAGATACACAACCCCATGCAAAAGTTCTCTAAAAACTGTCGGCAATTGTTTTAACGTAATTCTAGTTGAAATAAATATACATTGATGTAAATTCAACCTTAAATGCATTGCCTAAAGTTGTATTCAAAAAGCTACGTACAAATTAAAAGCGCACCTAAATGTTCGAGGGGGCGCTCATTCGGTAAGGACATTTTTTGTCACTGATTGTGTATCTAGTTTTTTTATTACTGATCGATGTACAAAGGGATGTAAACAAGATATTAGTAAAATTTATAAGTAAGTATAATAAATACTAAATATACAAAAATCGAGAAGTTTTATAATTATAAAATAATGGTAGCCGTTCTATTGATACCTATTGAAATATTAATATTTTAAAATGCTTGCTAATTATTCTTCGCTTCGAGAAATCTAAAATTTAATTTAAAATAATGGTAAATTAATAAATTTCTTTAAATTTCTAATTCATTAGAATACTTTGGCATAATAAAAAAAGATTTACCGATATCCGATAAAAGTCTATTGATAACAACGTTAATTTACATTATACAGCGTGATGCAAATTACAAATTAAGTAATATTTCAGCGTTATACCTTGGTTTGGTTTTTAGGAACGTCTCAGCTGAACGGCTTAGTGGAACTTGCTCAAATTTAAATTTTACAGAACAGGGTTCGGTTTCATTAAAATGATCAGTGAGCTCCTGTTAGTGTTGCGGTGTGGTGTTCAATATCAATCGGATAAAAAAATCAAAAGTAAAACAGCTTGTCGACGGCGGAATTTACACCTACCCTGAAGCGAAGTATTATTTAAATACTTAGTCCTATCAGTTATTATCAGAAATCGAGGTTCTTAGGTCCGCTTTTAGACGTTTTTTTGTTTATTTAAGATTATGTAACTAGTCGTCACAAGCATTTTTGTGTGTGATTTAAAGTGCCGATTTTGGCAGTGCTATTTTGGGTTAAAAGAAAAACTTGGCAAGAAAAGTCAGCCTCTTCGGATACCGTGGTATAACAATATTAAAATGAATAGAAACCATATAATTGTTATTCATAGATTACGTTCTGGGCACTACCCCAATAAAAAATTTGTATTTTTAATGAAAAAAGCAGACTCGCCCAATTGCGATATTTGTCATATTATAGAAGATGTACAACATATGCTAGCAGAATGTGTCAAATATCAAAGGGAAAGGGAGAATCTGGTACAAAAATTTAGTATCAATTTGTGTGAAACGGGTTGGTTTTTGAGTATACTTGCGGAGCCACACTCAGCGGTAGCAAAATCAGTCAGTACCATATTTTTACCACATTGATTGCCCCTTTCCAAATAGCATTGGTGAAACGGGAACAAGCTAGGTTACGATAAGGCTGACATATCCTTGTAGGATAAAAGCCTTTTTAAATAAAGATAGATAAAAAAAAAGAAATACTGTGTGATTGTAAAAATATAAAGTCATATAAAAAATGCCAACAGATTTTTCTTTTTTCTCTAAGCCTGTCTTAAGAGAAGTCCTTTACTCTAGTAGGCATTATAAGTTTATCAATTCCATTGTATTATTTATTATAAAAAATGCGTGGTGTTGCCAAGCAGTAGTTGCATTATGGTTGCAATACGAATGGGTCGGCTCGACCGGGAAAAGACTACGTTCTCACGGAATACCAGTGTAAAATAACAACATAATTCTGCTGTGTACCGAATGTAAAGTGACCCTTTTCACTGGGAACGAAGCATTCTATCTTAATAGATGCAATGCATTTCAATTTCGAATCTTACACAACTTACCATCGGTTGGGCTGTGTGCTCGTTTGTCACCTATGCTCCTATTAGAAAACTAATATCAATGGTACGTCTTTTAATAGGAGCAAGGAGGACTTTTTCGGATCTGGTTGATATTTTTCAAAAAATTCAATGGTATTATGTAGTATATCCAATGGTAATATTGGTCGGTGGGTGTCTTTAAGCATTTTAAATATGTTCTTTGTTTGTTAGTTAGGCTTGAAATCCTCCTACGCTGACGTCGGTCGCGTACGTTGGTCGCGCGTACTAATGTACATTGTGTTCTATACAGCCCCACACTACGACGCTGACGACAGTGGCACGTAGCTTGCTGCACGCTGTAAGCTACCGACCGTACGCAACCGACGTCAGCGTAGGATGAATTCAGGCCTAAGTTTTTCTCCTTTATCGGAAAACTATAATTGAATTAATCGATTCTAGGTATCTTTTTAAAATAACTTGCGCTCTTGTTTTCATATCGTGGAAATGCATAACATTAAAAAATATACAATATGTTTTTTTTTGCCAAAATAATGAAATCGGTAATGTCAATTACAGTCAGCCCTAAGTTAAATGGATCTAAGTGTAAATGACCATTAAAATTGAAACAATTTGTATATGTTACATTCAAAAACATAATATTACCTACTTATGAAGAATTAAAAAAAGCATGTTACTTTATTGAAACATGAAGCAAAAACTGAACTTTTTAAAAATAATTATATTATTTTAGCTAATATTAGTAATGGTTTCAATCGCTTAAATATTTACACAATTCACTTAAAACATAATTAACAATTATTAAATACTTCTTAAGAATTGTTGCGATAATAAACAAATAATTTATAGACACCATGTATATTCATCATGGTGTTTGAATTCAAGTATCTCGCATCAAACTCTATTTTTTTTTAAATTTATTACAAAATAATTAAAAAATAGCTGCATAACCTAAAACATCAAGTAAGTAAGATTGTTTTAAAAGCATCAAACTTTGAGTAGAATGAGAAATAAAATTACAAACTATACAAGTATGAAATCATTTTTGTTTATCCTTACACGGCCAATTTTGAAAATAAATCTAAAACCTTTATTTTGGTATAACAATAACAATAAAATGCAAGCTTGAAATGCCACACAATTGCAATCTTTAGATTTATGAAAATAAAAGCTCTTTTCGGTTACACCTACGCATTAATATAAATTCTTGTTATAAATTACAAAAGCTTATTTCCATTTGAAAATAAAATTTAGGTGTACATTAAAGAAAAAAATACTTCGAATTAGTTAAAATAAATACTATATTACATTGTACAACAATCTAAACTGATGCCAAAGTAAATTTAACTTTATAACAAACTAAATAGAATCGAAATTGCATTATAACCCTATGTTTTATATATAAATACAATTATTTGCTAATAATTTTGAACCTTTTCACTTTGATTTTGATTTTGTTCCCGCAGAGCTTCAGTGCAGTTGCGGCTCCTAAGTAATCCGCACTGGATACGTCTTTGCCATCGACTGCTACCAAGAAATCTCCCTTTTGGAGTCTACCGTCAACTTCCGCCGGGGATCCGGGAAGCTGTAATCACATAGCCTCAGCTTTAATCTCTCTCCCTCACACACAAACACATACTCTATTACTGTCATAGTGCATACATACATATACATATACATTACAGCATACAGAGATGTATGCTCCGTCAGATACTTTTTGTGACGTGTGTTACCTTCAATATCCTACTTTTAGCTCTCGCCATAGTGCAGAGACTTATGTTCTCTCCCTAATTAAGTGATTTAGGTCCGGATAAGGATCCTTTCCTTGAGGATTGGATGCACATTAAAGGAGACGGATACGCTTTCATACATTATTGGGCCCAGATTGTAAAACGATGAAAGTGATGTCAATTAATAGCTTATATATTATCAAAACATCACTGAACATTCTGCGGACTTTGGCAATCTGAGAGCAGAATTATAAGAGATTTTGTAAAAGTGAGGTTTTGCAACAAGCTGGCAAAAACATATACTAAACAGCTGATTTTTGAAGTGCGTTTGCTATTTTGGAAGAATCGTGGGCCTAGTGTATTACAGCGACTAGTCGCTATGCGACAATTCACACAGCGATCCATTGAGTCAGTATCTAATAGATAAAACCCAGGCCGTAATATCCACAATAACGAGCCAAAGTCAAACGAGTAAACAAGATTATCGGTGCTCGGTATATTAGCAAGCGTCGTACAAATTAAGTAAGATCAAAAGTCCGTAGAAAGAAAGCAGTGGTCGAGCAATATAAATCAATAAAACAACGGGAAACACTTAAATCACACACGTACCTAAACGATACGAGACGAGTGATCATAGATTGAGTTGAGTCAGGCAGGAGCTATCACTATCAGCACAGATTAAAAATGCAGTTGATAAAAACAAGTAATAAACCGAACTGTAAACGTGAATCGATTTTAAGATTTATTTTTATTATGTTGATATTTAATTTTTTAAACTGTTAACACTATGTTAATATACTGTAATGTATCTTTTTACTTTGATTGAATCAATCATCTGATGTCAGTTGTTTGTATGTTTAATTGTTAAAGCTCATTCACATTAATCGATTAAAGTAATCGATTTCCTATTTTATTCGTGACATACACTTATTTTCAAGATTTCTCGTCTTCCAGATTGTGGATTGGGCAAATCTTTTATATTTTGAAATAGAAAAATATAACGCTTTTTTTAAACCATATTTCAACTTATTACAATTGGGCCCAAAAATCCCCGTCTCCTTTTATTTATATATAGAATAATACTACTTGTACTGATATTGCCGCGTTTAATTATCTTGTTTTTTATTGATTCCCGACGTTTCGGGTGCTTTCCAGCACCCGCGGTCACGGGGGACTGAGGTGATTGACGTTCCGAAGTCAGAGTTAACCCGAAGTACCTTCAGCTTTTTTAATTATTAATTTGGGTCCGATCTACGCAGAATGAACTTACTGTGTCTTAAAGTCTTGCAGTGGTATGCTTGGGTTTAGTTTTAATTTTATTAATTACAGGATCCCAAGCAGATGATAGTACCCAGCCTCTCTCACGTATCGATGTTCTTTCGCGAGAATTTGTGGTTTATCAAATCTAATGTAATGGCGGGGGCCATATAGTTATGTGTTCTTTTACGCGGGTTTTGATAGATTATCAATGTGTAGTGTTCGCGTAAATATAAGAAATCATTATTTTATTTATATATTTATTTATAAAGAGCGTATGGTACCAGTCTTTTTCAATCAGAATACAAAGCTCATTTGTCACCGTTATTCTATAAAAAAAACTAGTTAGGTTGTGATGGTGTGTGATGAAGGAATGCTCACCAGCTCGCCGATGTACACGCCGCTACCCTGTACGGGCGCCACACACGCCAGGCCCAAGGCGCGACCACTTTTCCTGGACAACTCCACTTCCACTTCATCGTACTGGATCGGCTCGGGGCGGAACACTGTCAGCTTTAACTGTAATAAGTTTCATTAACATCATCATCATTAAGGCTTAGCATAGCTTTTTATACGTGATAGAGAAACGCTGCAGACATATTGTGGTTGCAATACAAATGGACCATAAAACATGGTTTAGCAGTTAGATGCGGATCGACCGGGGAATCAAAAAATAATTGTTTCTGGAATTATGAATTTAACGATGGCAGCTCGAAGTAATCAAAATATAATGGTCAGCAAGACGGAGCGAAGGAACTAAAATTAAATGGACTGTATCAGTGGTGATCGAAGGAGCCAAAACAAATTAGTGTAGACGGAGCGGCGCTGCGGTATATATTTGTTGCGCGCCAGTATTAATGTCTTGTACATGGCAACGCTAGTTACCACTAGCGCCCTCTAGTATCGAGTAGCAGAACTAGGAGAGTCAAGATCCTTCTAGAAATATCGGGACCGATATGTACTCGAACATTCTAGATGTTACTATAGTAGAAGGTTCTGGAAACTACCTGAGGCCCTATATAAGGTATGTATAGACCGCGACCGGGACAGTATTGAATGGGCGATATAAGCGATAATTCGAAGCGATACAACAGCAAAATAAAGTGATCAGTACTGTAATTGTGTTTTATTATTAGTGTGGTTTAAGTTGTAATTAGTGTTTTGTAATGAAAGTGTCAATTTTGGTAATTCAATCGGTAGTTTTTAATTGTTTCGAACCCCAAGCTCGTAATATATTCAATATACTTTGGACAATACACTTTGCGTAAAATTGATTTAATTCGTTAGCTGACACGAAAGGAGGTGCGTTGTTGCGGATTGGGTGCAATAAATAAGACAGCTCGCGAAAAAGGACGAGTAAAACACAGTACTTTTAAGAGCGGTGTGTCTCGTATCTCTTGACGACTCGATGACACGATGAGCTATGACACTAAAATTCACAATAGAACAGTTCTGATCTCTTGTCAATAAAATCATGTGCACCATATAAACTTCCAACGAATAAATAATTTTAAGAATTTTTTAGAAGAAATGGCCGCGGCGTTCTATAAAATCTTCGCCATCCTCTTTCTAGTAGCGCACGTCGACTACTGGCTGTCCTAGAGGGATTTAGCGGTTCGCGATGACGACTCGTCTCTCGGACGACCGACCTATGCCACACTAGGTATGTGCGGGAAAGGGAGAGATAGGGGAAGTGTATTGTGTCAGCCAATCTAACTAATAAAAAACGTCATGAGCGTTGGTGCAACCAGATTGGAATAATGTGATTTTTCTTTAACATACCTTCGCAGCACGCAGTTTTATGCTCAAGCAAATTCTCTCATGCGCCATTTTGTTGGTGATTGCTATACCGTTGCACTCACGAATCTGATCGCCAACTTTAAGCCGGCCATCTTTGTCTATAGCTCCGTTCTTATAAATGTCTAATATAACCGCCGCTGCCCCCTGAAAAGAAGTTGATGAACTGAGAACTCCATTTCACCCAATGTCACAATCTAATATATATGTATAATATTTTAATGGTATTCAAAAATATTTAAAAAAAAAACCTATAGTAACATAACTAAAACTAAAAATTAATTATTATACAATCCTACTTGCCGTGGTTTCCTCGCTGAATGGCTATATTTAGACTTTGAACGAGAAAAGAACCAGCTCTCTTATCACCAGCAGCGACTTCACCGCACGTGGACCTCACGGACCGATAGTCTGTCTCTACAGCAAATGGCACAAATATGTAGTCATCTCTCAGAGACTCATGTTTGCGCCACTTACTCAGTTCAGCTGCCTCTGATGCCGCCCCGGCTCTAAACCAGGTACCCCTGAGAAAAGTGCTTCCAAGGGACCAAAGTCATACTGTCGGGCCGATTTAAAAATTTTTTTTATTTATTTATTATTTTTTACATCTACCTTATAATAAGGGATATAAAGGGCGGACTTAATGCCTTGTGGCATTCCCTACCAGTCAACGCTGGATGATTTGAGAAGCTGTGGTAGGTGCAACACCACTTAAAATTTAATTTTAAAGTTAAGTAATCATTTAAAAGTTAAGTAAATGTTGTTTTAATTTACCTATAACTTTATCTATGATATTAAAGTATTTTACATAACTTACGTTGATCAAGGTATCACTTCCGCCCAAAAGGATAACTCCGAGATTCTCATTCGCCGAGTTGATCTCGATCACCATCTCTTGGTTGGGCACTACCTGAGCTGTCGCTGGATCGGGAGGTGGTTCCGCTGTAACAAAAGTGTTTATAAATCCCACTAATGGACAAAGAAGTCTCTTTTTGAGCATAATGCCCGTTAAATAATGTAATGCTATGATTGAAATGTTGGACTAAAGTTCATCATCATCATTACAGCCCTTCACAAGTCCACTACTGAACATAGGCCTCCCTCAAGGAATCGTATATATTTGAATGTATTGGTATATCACACAATGCATTTACTTGGCTTTGACTAGTAGATGTTACAAAAGTAGTTATTGCGCTAGGTAAACATACAACTACTGAAAAATATTAAGAGATAATTATTTATTATATGTTATTACAAATGTCATAATTTCATCCTCATTACAGCCCTTCACAAATCCACTGCTGAACACAGACCTCCTCCAAGAAACCAACAAAGCACGGTCCTGATACACCTGTATCCATCGACTTCCTGCCAGGTCGTCACTCCATCTTGTGGGGGAACGCCCTACACTTGGCCTACCGGTACAATGCTGTTACTCAAGTGCCTTTCTTCCCCATCAATTGTCGGTCCTTGGAGCTATATGGCCGGTTCGTTGCCTTTTGCTTTGCCATTGCTTGCTAATCCGTCCGTACAGGCAATCACATTTTTTTTTTCAATTATCTTACTCGTACGAACGAAGTGTGTTTGTCGTGTTAATATCTGTGTAAGTGTGAGCGTAGTAAATGTGTGTGTGTGTGTGTATGTGTGTGTGTGTGTGTGTGTGTGTGTGTGTGTGTGTTTGTGTGTGTGTGTGTGTGTGAGAGAGAGAGAGATACAGAGTGAGCGTGTGTGCGTGCGAATGTGCGATTATAGTAAGAAAGAACTGGCTTATAATACTTAAGAAATACATTGTTATTATAATTAAAAAAACTTAAAAAACCTACTTATTGTGGTGAACTATGATGGCAAACAATCAGTTTTACCTTTTGCAGGCGAGGGCCTTGGTGTCTGCGGTCGGGAAGCGCCAGCGGATAGTGCGTCTGGAGTTTGGTTCCCTTTTGTATTAATAACAAAACATTATTATAACCTCAAAATCTTCCAAGCAATTTAAAATTAAAACGAGAATATAACTGATGTCTAATTGATAGGATTAGGCGTTACTTTGCAAAAATACATTCAATTAAAGATGGCAAATTATTTAGCTAATAAAAATAATGTGGCTTATCTCACCACTAATCCCACACCTTTATGTTGACGGGGATAATGCACGCAATTGAGGGAGGGTGGGAGTTGCACTTCAAACTTGGTAAGACACGTTATTTTTTATTTTTTTTACGCGGATCTTACCAAAAAATTTGTTATTTTTAATTCATGTTTTTCTTCCTGAATTCCTTGCGAATTTTTCCTATGATAACTTAGGCTCAATTTACATTGCGGCGGAATGGAATGGAAGCGAATTTTTGTAACGAAATTCTACATAGTAAAATGAATTATATGTTAATTGTGTAACGTGCAAACTACATATGATCAAAAAAAGAAGTCGCGCGTCTCCATTCTATGCCGCCACAATGTAAATTGAGGCTAACTTTTCAATTTCTTTGAATTTTCAGCTCTGGGAAGAATCGCTAGAAAATCAAGCAGGACTTATAAAATCTTAATACAATTTTAATTCAAAAAGTTAATATGACCATCATGAGATATACTATACTATCTCATGATGGTCATATGGAGATAGTATATCTATATGTCATGATGATTATACTCATATATTCATACCTGAGGTGCCTGAGGGGTCTTCTTTATCTGGATCCTTCATATTCGGACTGCATACTGTTAATATGACCACGCCTTCTGTCTGTTTCAGTTTGGCGGCCGCCTAGAGAAAGTACGTAAGATAACATTTAACGAATAGAATATAATATTTTTTATTCATTTCTTATTGAATTCGTTCAATTCTTATTGAACGTCATTCTTTATTTTTACCACTGGTTCACTGATGATTCCTAAAATATCTAATAATTGATCACTAGTAACTATCTACGTGGTAAAAATTCGATATAATTATGTGCTCCAGATTCAATCATGGCTGCCAGTCTTAACTAGAGCATGCAATACCATTATATCGTTACCGCAATTTCGCGCTGTATTTCATTACCGCAGAAGCGAGATTACAGGTGCGAATTTCGCAATATTAAAAACGAACCCGGTGTGAAATCGGAGTAACACTGGGTAAATATCTAAAGACTGTGTATAAACTATATCTTTTTAACTCACGCAAGCATAGACACAAACACACACACACACACACACACACACACACACACACACACACACGTATACATAAGTAAATAAACTAAGAATAGAATTAATATGGAATTTAAGTAATATATAACATTAATATGGATATAGAATATGTTTATCCATACTGCCTTGTAACATGGATATAGTAATGGAAGGGCGGACCCTCCAAACACAGGCATTATTTGCTTAAATGGAGGTTCCAATCTACTAGTTTTTAAAGGCATGTACTTTTTAAAAACGAAATAAAATTTATTTATTTATTTATTTACTATTTATCTGCTAAGCATTCGACCGACGAGCGTAGAAGTTGAGAGAGCATTTTCGGCTGCTGGATACATATGTAATAAAATTAGAAGTTCTTTAAATGACAAGACAGTGGATATGCTTTGTTTTTTACATAAACATTTCCAAGGTAAAAATTAAGATTAGGGTTGTATGTGTGATTAATTGTAGTTATCTCATGTTAGTGTTTTAATTTAACACCCGTTAAAGATTTTTTAACTCATGTTATTTTTTTTAGCTAAACCGCCACTTAAGGATTTTTTTTTAATTTCGCAATATCGCAAATGTTCCGATATTACAAGTTCCGATACCGCAATATGTACTGCGACATTGCATGCTCTAGTTTTATCAGAGATTAACCACTGCGCAGCACAGGGTTCTAGTGCATAAGTGTGTACGCAAGCACACTTGCACTCTCCATTGCCTCAGGAGTGGGGGCAAACGAGCTTTCGGCTCACTAAATAGTCTGATGGGACGGTAATCCAACTCGGATTACGGAGATAGATCAGGCGGAGGACTAATCTATGACTAATCTCCGTTGAGACACCCCGTGACCGATTCGGTCTGGAGTACATTATTATACTTGTCGAATGACGACTTATATATATATAGACAAACGAGCACACAGTCCACCTGATGGTAAGTGGTTGCTGTGGCCCATAGACATCTACATCTATCCTCGTTTGCGAATCAAAATGCAGATGCGTTGTCACCCGTGAAGGCTAAGATGGAATGCCTCTTTTCCAGTGAAAATGTTCTCCGGTTCTCTACACTCACTATACGAAATACGGCAGTTTTAAGCTGCTACTTTACGCTGGTATATTCTGTGAGAGCGTGGTCCTTCCCCGGTCGAGCCGACCCGTTCGTGCTACAACTATACTACTAATATAGCTGCAGCATGGCTCTACCACGTATAAAATATATGCGAGAAACCTTTCATTCTTTCTGAAATTTCTCTGATAATCCCCCGGGACTAAATAGGGTGATGATTCTTTAACGCTGCCACCGCATGGCCTAGTAGGTCAAAAACCGATTGTTAAAGAAAGGAGGCTCTAGAGTTTCATCCTTGTACCATATAAAGCGATCCGTCTAACTAGCTGAAACCATTCCTCTGGGAGAGATGCGGGATATCGATAAATACAGGCGATTTAAAATCATGTTGTGTGACACTGTCAAGGTCTTTAGTACGAAGTAAAATTTTAGGAGTGATGTAATTAAAATAATATTTACTGATGATTAAATTAAAATTAATTTCCACTATCGTCACATGGTTGTGGTGGTGCAGTAAGCAGCGACAGAGGGAAACAAACTAGGAGATGGGCAGCATCTTCCTAATCCAACTTAAAATTTAACAAAAACTAACGTTGTCAACACACCTGCCGGGGGGCGGGGCAGCGGGACAACTATGGCAAATAAATTTTTTACATGGTAGAGACAAGCTACGTTTATATTAGTAGTATAGTTGTAACACGAATGGGTCGGCTCGACCGGGGAAGGACCACGCTCTCACAGAATATACCAGCGTAAAGTAGCAGCTTAAAACTGCCGTATTTCGTATAGTGAGTGTAGAGAACCGGAGACCCTTTTTACTGGAAAAGAGGCATTCCATCTTAGTCCTCACGGGTGATAACGCATCTGCATTTTGATTCGCAAACGTGGATAGATGTCTATGGGCCACAGCAACCACTTACCATCAGGTGGACTATGTGCTCGTTTGTCACCCTATCCTATAAAAAATCCCCTATGAGGAAAGGGGGAGGCCTATGTTCAGCGACGGACCTTTGATGAACAGTAACGGTAAATGGAAGCATGAAAAAGGAAAGAGGTCTAACGACCTGATAAGAGATGTTGGAAGTCGATTGAGGATACAAGTGGCCCAGAACCTTGTTTTGTGGCATTGTTTGGGGGAGGCCCATGTTCAGTAGTGGACTTGAGATGGGTTGTGATGATGATGATTAGAAAAAAATGGAAAAGCTAGCTAGCTCACAAAACGCGAACATTTCTTTTTCACCCGACTGCGGAGGGCAATGTGTTTATCAGCCATACATATATGTTTGTTATTATGTGGCGCGCTAGAGATCAAACATGTGGGCCGATTTTGCTGATTCTTACGTCAGTAGATTTGTCGTGAGTGTCTATGTCTGTAATTAAAATTCAATATGGCGACAACCAGACGCCATATTGCTCAAAAGAAAAAAATGAAAGTCTCGACAAACAATGTCAAGTGAGGTTCATTGATTAGGTTTCTCTAGTCATTTTTCATTTTGAATGACCATTTATGATCTATAACTATTTAACGTTGGTCTGCGACCATACTCGCTTAAATTTTCCAAACTTATAATAGAGCTGCGATAAAATTCTTATATAATCTTATAACGGGCATTATTGGTATTTTTTTTACGCAGTTGGGTTTTTTTTAAACAGTATTAACTTTTCCTTGTTTATATGTATATCGATGACAAGCCTTAAGATTACGTTTCTGAGATAAAATATGCGTGTATTATTTAAGAACGTATTTTCAAGGTATTCTCAAAATAATAGTAAAAACCGCATCAAAATAAAAAAATGAAGTTTTGAGCTTGATTACGGTTTTATAGTATTAAGTGATAAAAACTATGGTCATTTAAACACATGACTTGCAATATATTCATGACATGGTGTGGTACAAGTTACAACAGCAAGCGACAGTAGTCTAAATGTTAACGATACGCGTCTGCGAAACTAAAGGTCAAATACTCAAACGCTACCAATTTTAAGACGTTGAGTCTCGTGCTGTCACAGTCACTTTGACTTAAAGTGATAGAGACAGAACGAGACTTAACTGCGTCTTAAAATTGAGCAGTTTGAGTATTTGGGCATAATAAGTGCAAATTGTGGGATTTAATACGTTCTTCGACTACCTACTGTCATGATATATTCCTGGCACAAGCATTTTAAGCTTATTTATAGTGCTAAGTGCTATTTAAAGTGCATTAGTTAGCACTAATATAGCATTATTAGCATTCGACGGCTCCGTTGGTGTAGTGGTCGGATGAGTGATTTTTGATCATGAGGTTTCGGGTTCAAATCCCGGGGCGGGCTAAATCAGTGATTGGGTTTTCTGTCAAAAAAATTTCGAACATACGTAAAGTCCGATCTTGCGCCTGATCTCTATCCAGTCGTGTCGGATTATTGTCCAATCGGACTATGAGAGTGTCCTATCCTGGGCAGATGGTTAATCTCCGTTGAAACTGGCTGCCGTTACCGAAATTCGGTTTTGGGGGACATCATTTCATTGCTATTATTAGTATAATGGTAAATAATGATTTAAAAAAAGAAAATTAATAGAATCAGGCGTTGCATTGCGCAAGTCCATTATAATAAAGTTGACAAAAAATTACTTTGCGTCCATCCACTCGATAAAATAAAATTATGTGTCTTACCTAGTTTGAAGAGCACCTCCCGCCCTCCCTCAATTGCGTGCACTATCCCCGTCACCACTAATCCCAGCACCACTACTCCCAACACCACAACACTAGGAAATACACACCACTGACCACAATACGACACGTGTTTCGCCTCTACACGAGGCATCCTCAGGTGATATAGATTCTACGGTGGCTAACCGCTAAGATCACTTAGAACAAACAACAAAAGAACACTTACAACCCCCGACTACGTGTAAAAGTTTACTGAAAGAGAAAATATTTATAACCTATGTTACTTACACAACTAAGAAGAATCTAACGATGCCGTATATGGAAAAATTCATCAACCAGTTGAGGCTACAGAGTGTGCCAAAGAAATTCACATAATACAACCACTTAAAACCGCTGTCATGCAGAAAGAATAAACGAGGAAAGAGCGACAAAGCAAATGTATGTTGCAGAAGCGAACGGCAGAGTTAGGAAGCCCTAGACAGAAGTTTACCGACCAAATTGGTGATATATTGAAGATGGGGCAGATTAAGAACGAGTTTAAAAACCATCTGGTCCGATACATCCGTACACATCCCAACACGCGCTTCTATTCAAGCGCGCGTCGGACGCGTGCTGTCAGATTTTGGTTAGAACGCTCGTTACGCTTTTAGATACATAGACCGCCATTTTCTTGTACATTAGATCGCGCGCTTTCGTGTAGAGCGGACGTACGCTGACAAAAATGGAGATCATTTTGATTTTGATTTGTGAGCATTTGATACAAATTTCCTTATCGATGAATTCCAAAAACGACCAGTTATTAAGGATTCGCTTTGCTAACGCTCGTCGAACGCCTCGCTGAGCGCAGTATATGTACGTTATCAATGCGCACCGAACGCAACGCCGAGCGCCCAATGTGTACTAGATCTAAGAGTATCCTCAATCGCTGAGCATGTAGGCATAAGGATGTAAAGGAGGCGTGAGAGGTGTGTCAGGATCGTGCCAAATGGAAGTCCGTGGTCACTGCCTACCCCTCTGGGTGACAGACGTGATTGTTTATGTATTTATGTAGTACAACCATGAAGCAAATACAAAGAGGAGGTGTAATTAGATTTCACTATGTAACAACCATGAAGCAAATTCATGAGTACAATCACATAAAAACAGTTTAAGTTGCTTCTAAATTTGTAACTGTAGTGTGTAAAGTACTTACGGCATCATAACTGCAGCTTAATAAGGAATCCCTGTTGACGGCTAAAATCATGTCACCAATTTGCAGACCAGCCTGAAAGAAATGGAAACATGTTGTTAACAAGTATGATAAAAGGATCTAACTATTTAAAAAGATAAAACGAGGCTTAGTTTCGCCTTATTACGAATAAAACAAGTGCTGAAATTAAATATTTTTAAAAATCGAATTCAATACAAATAAAATGAGATAATCATCAATGTAGTCGAAGTCAATTAAATACGAATTATTAAGGATAACTCAAAAACTACTGGCCAGATCTTGATGAAATTTATATTCTCTGCTTTCGAATAAAAAAAAAGAATTTATTTGTAATTTATGATTTATAATATAGTTAGTCGATGAGGTACTAGCCTAAAGTGCTATCGACATTTTTAATCTGTACCTGTATGCGCACTGCGCAACGTAGTTCGTGACTTCAGTTTTTATTACTATAAGTGTCTCGTCAGGTGGAAATTCGACTATTTAATTGGTTAAAGTTTTGTATGGAAAAATTGTGTGTTTACACTTTATTTTACCTGCCTTTACATATTTTTATCTATTGCGTCGTACCGTTCAAATTATACAAGCTTCATACTCAACCGTTTATAATAAATAATTAGAAAAAGACAAAACTTTAATTCCCTACGTGAAACAGTGTCAGAACAAAAACCTACATAACAGACAGATAGACGGACTCCAAGGCTATTTCATGTGTTCAGTTATGAAATAAAGTATGTATATGAAATAAGGATAGTTAAAGTAAATTTTAACCTTTAAAATATTTAGTATGTAATAATATTAATACATAATTTACAGTGGTAGTTTAACATTTAACAGTGGTAGAGCCACGCGGCAGCTTTTGCCGCCGCACGGATGGGCCGGCTCGAACCGGGGTGGTACCACGACCTCACAGAATACCAGCGTGAAGTAGAGGTTTACCTCTGCGTTTCGCTTGGTGAGTGCAGGTGGCCGGAGGCCCTTTTTACTGGAAATGAGGCATTCCATCTTAGTCCTCACGGGTGACAACGCATCTGTATTTTGATTTGTAATAGAGGATAGATGTAGATGTCTATGGGCCGCAGCAACCACTTACCATCAGGTGGACTGTGTGCTCGTTTGTCACTCTTATCCTATAAAAAAAAGTTACTAATATTTAATAGATATTAACTAAAGTTAAAGTAACATATACAGTCTATATATTCCTACAGTTGGGCTCAGGACTCCTCTCATTTTTGAGAGGGCTTTTAGAGCAGAAAAATGTCCGCCGCGCTGCCCCATTGAGTGTTAGTTAACTTAACATGTCTCCGAAATTTTTTTCTTATATATCAGACATGCACGTTTTCTCACAATGTTTTCCTTCACCGCCGGGCACGTGGTAAATCAGCGCTTAAAATTGCAATTTACAATTTTGATCGGTGCCGGCGGGTTCGATATTAACCGATTTTGTTGCAATTCAGTTAAGTTCTCTATACTATGCATGTTAGATAGATAAATAGATAGATAAATCATTTATTTGTTTCTCCAATCACACACGTAAATTCAGTAACTAAACTAAGTACAAAGTAACATATTACGAAAAAAATAATTTGCAAAAACTTAAAATCTAAATGTACATGTGTGTTCACGATAAGGCAAATATCTTTGTCGTGAAAATATCTTAAAAATGAAGATATCCACAGCAGAACCACAGTAACCGACATAGCCCAATGGATTACTAAGCTGAAGTGGCAATGGGCAAGCAACTATAGCTGGAAGAACCGACAACCGATGGGGAAGAAAGGTTCTCGAGTGGCAGCCTTGTACCGATAGACGAAGTGTACGGCGGCCCACCACTAGACATTTAGGAAGGGTGCATGTAGGTGGTTCAGGTCCGGGCTTTGTGACGTTTCTTGTGGAAGGCCTATGTTCATTAGTGGACTTGTAAAGGGCTGTGATGATGATGACGAATGTAGGGAACTAGTATGCATTCCCTTAATTTATACTAGCCTGGTTTGAATATATTAATGAGACGTTATTTAAATTATCGTGAAAGTACATTTATTTTATCGATATCGATACTTATAAATAAATCTAAAAAGTTTTTTCGTTTAAAATACAGCATAGATCACTCGTGGCATTGCTCTCTTTCACAAGTATTTGTACCTATTGTACTAATTTGTAATAGGTACAAATACTTACATCTACCTTATAGTAAGAGATTAAAGGCTGAACTTAATGCCTTATGGCATTCTCTACCAGTCTCGCGTACTGTGAAGCAGCGAGTGCTTATCACCTAAGCTAACACGGCTCGTGATCTTATTTACAGTACATAATATTAGTCAATGGTCAACATATAGCTTATAACATTTAATTAAAAAAAAAACAATTATTATACAGGCGGCTCCGTGGCGCAGTGGCTTAGCAATGAGTCACAACGCTAAGTGCCACGGGTTCGAATCCCGCACGGAACAAGTACTTGTATGGCCTGCAAATAATTGTTCCGAGTCTGGATGTTTGTCCTTGTGCAATTTATGCTTGTAAACTGCCTCCACGATACAGGAGAAAATCCTAGTGTGCAGGTAACGTTTTTATAAAAATGTAGAATGAAATGAATGAAGGTTCAGTCATTCTGAAGATTATCCGGGACAAAAAAAAATTATAAATTGGTCTTTCATGTGATAATAGCACGCAAATAACCGCCTTAGTTCAACAAAAGATAGTTATTTCGATGTTACAGACATACACTTCAATTTTATTTTATGTACTAGCTGTTCCCCGCGACTTTGCCTGTATAATTTAGGGTTTTAATTATTTTGCGCGGAACCCAATTCTTTTTGTAAAATATAAGTAGCCTAAGTTACTCCTTATAAAACCAGCTATCGTTCAGTGAAAGTTCCGTTGAAATCGGTCCAGCCGTTTCGGAGATTAGCCGGAACAAACAGACAGACAGATATATATACAGACAAAAAATTTAAAAATTGTGTTTTTGTTATAGGTAACGTATATACTTCCATATGCATTTAGTAAAAAAGCTGTTATTTTGACATTATAAAAAGACACTTCAATTTTATTTATTTGTATAGATAAATCAGTACTCGCAGTTTATTCGAATATCCAGATCATTCGCAGTCGTCTATAGTTTATCTATTTAGGTTTAAATATCAATTCTAAATCCTTACCTGTTCCGCTGCGCTACCCTCTTGTAGATCCGACACGAATATCCCACGACCGGCCTCCTGGTGCCGACCTTCTATTATCATGATGCCTAAACCGGACGGACCCTGGAAATTAATCAAAGTTAAGTTAGATTATCAACCATTCCCGGCTTTGCCTGGAAAGTATCTACTAATGTGGCCTTATTCACATTTAAAATGGTCAATGACCTTTTTATAATTTTTTGTTTTAAAAAAAATCTTTAAGCTTTTCGAAAAAAAAAAACATAGCCCAGACCTAGACCCCTCCTGACATTATTCTCTATTTATATGTGAAGTGTTATCACAATCAGGTCTACCATTCCGTAGATTAGTACGGACAGACAGACAGGCAAACATTTTGAAAGTGGTTATTTATGTCCTAATAACATTCGAATAACCCCCTGCCGGGCCAGCATGGGCAGGCGACAATTTTATCCCCGGGGAAAGGAGAAAATGTTTATCCCCTCGCTTAGTTTTATCCACATAGAGTATGGGCACACCGGTGGGTATAATATCCACAGTAGATAAAATGTGAGATAGACTTACCCCCTTATTCATAAAAAAATTAGTTAAATAGTGTTTTGTCTCATTCTGACATTTGCGAGACACTTGTTGCTAGAAAGTGACAAAACACTATTTAACCAATCAAGTGTTTAAAAATGTATATGAATAAGAGAGTTTAGACTTTATAGATTTTTTGTATGAATATAACCTTAAACCCACATCCAATGAACTAGAATAAAATTGTCCCTTTCAGATTTCAAAAAAAGCATAATTTTTTATCTTTCATTTGGCTCCATGCTACGGAATGGGGATATATGTCTACTCGTTACGTCAAACGGGGATAATACTTTTCTCGTTGTCGTGTTTTGGCATAAGGACAAGATAATTCTATCCCTTATCAGTGGATATAACCGGTGGATAATTTTTTTGTCCCCAGCCCATGCTAGCCATGCTGAGTTTAATGGAATCCAGTTATTTCAACGACGCTTAATTTCCTAATGTACATACTTTGCATAAAATACAAAAAAAAAAATAACTTGCTTATAGTGTTTTACATACAATAAATGGACCCACACTCATCCCTGGGATCAATAATGACTAACCGGCCAAGTGCGAGTCGGACTCGCGCATTTAGGGTTCCGTACCATCGTAATACACGATTTTAATAAGTCCCCTTTAATTTTTATTTTTATAATTTGTTGTTATAGCGGCAACAGAAATACACATTCTGTGAAAATTTCATTTGTCTGCCTATTACGGATCATGAGATACAGCCCGCTGACAGACGGACGGACAAACGGCGGAGGCTTGGTTAATAAAGTCCATTGGTTACCCTTCGGGTACGGAACCCTAAACAGCTTAATTTTGTAATATGCATTTTGCAAAATTTACACTGGGGTTTATTAAACTCTTCATTTTGTAAAATTAACCAAATACTATAGAGGTATTGCTCTATCTAGCATCATGCCTAGTGCTATACACCGTAAATATATACATAGATGTGAACACTACTTTTTTACAGCAGCTGTTATAGCCATTTATTAAAATATAACAGTTGTGACGACCGCGGCGATTCCAACATCGACACTTTGATCTCGAATATTATCGCAATCACTCAATCGAAATATTTAGTTTAAAATCTAATTTAATAAAACTTACATTTTATTAATTATCGTCTGCAACAGTAGGCGATACAAAAAACCGCTGTGCGATCGAATAGAACTGTCCGCCAGTCCGCCAAAACGTTATTCGATAGTCTAATTACGTTTTTAATCGATTATAGGCTTAGATAAATGATTAATAATCGATTACCAATATTCATACTTTTTTGGTCAGGTTAAAATTACCGGCATGGAAACATTTCATAGTAATCTGTAAGTTTAAATAAATCTATATACAGGGTTATTTTGCAATTTATGAACGTTCAGAATAATTAATATAGGAAAATGTAGACGAAAAATTAATTTAAAAACTACCCGTTTTTTAACTTTTATTTTAAAATGCGTGGTAATGAATTTTAATTGATTATTTTCTGATTTTACTGCGCACGCACACATTTACACAAATTTTGACATTGTGTAGTTTGAGCTTATACTCAAGATTGTACCTGGATACTGGCCATAGTATATAGAAGAACTAACGCCCCGACTGTACAAGCTATCATGTGAAAATTAATTGAGTGTTTTTAATTCTTTGAAGCAGGCGTATAACATTTAAAGATTTTTTACATCAATTTATACAGGGTTATTTTGCAATTACCAGCCAAATTTTCAGAGAAGGTTCAGAATAAGTAATATAGGAAAATGGTTAAGAAAAATTAATTAAAAAATCCCAAACATTCTGTCCTTTTTATCCTTTAATTTAAAATGCATGGTAATGAATTTTAGGTGATTGTTATAACTGATTTTACTATGCACACACACATTTGTATGGGTCGATCGGTAGGCAAAAACGTTGTTGCCCATAAATCACATTCAATGTGGGTAATTTCAAATAAAAGTAGAAGCCTTATTCATTCGTATCTTCAAAAACTGCACTAACAATATACCATTATTTATATATTATTTTAATTAAGTTTAAAATTTGGCAACTCTTTGAAAAATAACCATGTATATAAGTATAAAGTTTGATTACCTTCTTGATAGTAATGTCGCGAACGCCTTTGTATCCAGCAAACCGATCCTCCGACTGGAAAAGAAAAGGTTAGGTTGTAATATATTTCATTTAAGTAAGCAAATCATAATAGTGTATGTAAAAATTGGGAAGAAAGACTCTCAAAAAAAAAAGTAATAACCCTTCATGTGCCGCGCCATTTTATTTTTTTACACTTCAAAGTGTCAGAAGCCGTTCGGGATGTCGCCCGATAGCGGCAGGCGCTAATGTATAAACAATGATATCTTTTTAATTTTGTATGCCAGCTATATATAATATATGTACCCATGCGGCGGAGGTAACATATAGAGACCAAACAATCGAAGACAGTCACGCTATCAAAGTTACTAAACAGCTCTGCATATAACCATCTCCGTTCTATCACATGGTACAAAATCCAACTCCACGGGTTGAACCCCTTGTGTGGCGTAAGATCTCCTCCTAGTACAACCATGCTGCTATATTAAGGTCGGCTCGACCGGGGATGGACCACGCTCTTACAGAATAAAAGATAAATCCTGCTATGTTACGTATGGCCCATAGACATCTACATCTATCCTCGATTGCGAATCAAAATGCAAATGCGTTGTCACCCTTGAGGACTAAGATGGAATGCCTCTTTTCACGTAAAAAGGGTCTCCGGTTCTCTACACTCACCATACGAAACACAGCAGTGTTAAGCTGCTATTTTACGCTGGTATTCTGTGAGAGCGTGGTCCTTCCCCGGTCGAGCCGACCCACTCGTGCTACAACTATACTACTGATATAGCTGCAGCATGGCTCTACCACGTATCACATGTTCTATAATAAAAATAATCCTCATAATATGTTCTTTCAGCGCCGAGCACATGCTAAATTATAACTTGAAGTAAGAACTCTGGTTCCTCGCATAATATACAGACTGAAATTGAAATCAAAGCAAGAAAAGAAAAGAAAAAAAAAGGAAAAATATTTATTGCAAATACGCCACAATCATTCAATCTACACAGGTATAATAATTTAAAATTTAAAATTTTGTACAGCCGACTTTAATATAAATTATTAAAAATAACTCAAAAAGTATTGATCTGACATTGATCAAATTCATATCTGACCACATGTGAAGTACTAGCTTTCAAATGAAAAAAAGAATCATCGAAATCGGTACACCCAGTAATAAGTCATGAGGTAATACACAAAAAAAAAGAAAACATACAGTCGAATTGAGTACAGTCTCCTTTTTAAAGTTGGCAGAAAAAATTAGAAAAATAAACTTGAACAGATATAATATACCATTTAACAAAAGTATGTTACATTTACAAAAAAAATTACTGCCTCGTTGGTCCAGTGGTAGTCAATGCGTTTGTTGATCACGAGGTCCTGGGTTCGAATCCCTGGTCGGGCCAAGATCAGTTATTGGGTATTTCTGATTAGAAATTCTCATCAGCCTGCCGAAGTCAGGAAATTGACGGTATTTACTTCCCCGTGCCTCGGAAACACGTATAGCCGTAAGTCCTGCGCCTGATCTCTCTCCGGTCGTGTCAGTTTACAGTCCCATCGGACTATGAGAGTGAGGGAATAGAGAGTGCACCTGTGCTTGCGCGTACACTTGGGCACTATAATCCTGTCCTGGCAGATGGCTAATCTCCGCTGAGACTGGCCGCCGTGACCGAAATTCGATCTAAGGACATTATTTACATTAACTGAATACATTTAAAATACGTTCCCTAAGTGTGTTGTGGCGCGTTAGGCAAACAAACCTTATCCAGCTTTTGATGTTGCCGAAACAACAGCGCTGATTTATCGATAGAATCCGTTTCAATCAAGAATATTATACTCGTGATACGTTGGGACTAAAATTAGATAGACCGAAAATTCTTCATTGCACTCAAACAAAAAAAAAATTGGTACAAAGACGAACTTAATGCCGAAAAGGCATTCTCTGCCAGCTAACCTTTGGTAGTGTGGTGAGGACTATGGGTAGATCCGAAAGAGAAAAACTAACTTATTTATACATATTATAAACATACACATACCTATATGTATATATATATATATATATATATATATATATATATATATATATATATTATACTACTTATATATATAAATGAATAAATAATGGATAATATACCAATAAATACACACAAGTATCTATTGGTATATTATCTAGTACAGGAAATTACACAAATCTTAAGTTGTATTATTGCAGGAAAGGAATACTTTAAAAATCATATTATTAATTTTTCAAAATTTTCGTAAATAAACACGAAATAAATAATTATTACACGATAATTAAATAAAAAGCCTCAATAAATCAAACTAAGAATGTGGAAAATACTGTTAATCGTTCAGAGACAATGGCCAGAACAAAGGTGAATTCAAGGATGCATGCATTCTGAACAAATGAAAGAAATACGTGACTGCCTGCGAGCATCACTCACCAGAGGCTTTGCATAAGTTTCAAATTTTTATGTTGCTTTTTAAGTTATTAATTTAAATAATTTTAAAAATTATTAATTTTATACGTGGTAGAGCCACGCTGCATCTATATTATGGTTGTAGCACGAATGGGTCGGCTCGACCGGGGTGGGACCACGCTTCAACGGAATACCAGCGTAAAATAGCAGCTTCATGCTGTTGTGTTTTGTATGGTGAGATTAGAGAACCGGATACCCTTTGTACTGGAAACGAGGCAGTCCATCTTAGTCCTCAGGGGTGACAACGCATCTGCATTTTGATTGTAGATGTAAATGTAGATGTCTATGGGCCACAGAGACACTTACCTCAAATGGACTATGTGCTCGTTTGTCACCCTTAATAAATATATATAAAAAAATATTCTTCAATACGATTAGAATAATAGGTTCAATGGATGCCAATGACTTCAACCTGTGAAATTTAAAGTGCAGCACCACGGAGAGACTAGACTTGGGAAAAAATATCGATATATCGAAATATTTTTTTTATAAAATATTGATACCGTAAAATGCTCTAACTTGACCTACCTAGCCTTACTTTGCCTAAACCGATCATTTGGATTTCATTAGTAGGCTATAGCCTTATTTTGCCTAAACAGATAATTTGGATTTCATTTTTTTATCTCATTTAGAAAATTGAGTCTACGGTAGGATTTTATCTCATGGCAACGTTTACTTTTGGTCCCAAACAAAAAGTTGTGAAATGTCAGTGAACTTCAGAATTGCGCAAATTGTGGTTGCTGATATTTTGACTGCACTTCAAAATTTTATTCTGTGAATATTTTAAACTATTTTTACGGATTTGATGAACCATATGAAATGAATAATAGTCTCATATCCTTGTCTCTATGTCTTGTTATTGTAAAACGAGTTTAAGGTGGAAAAATCAAGACAAACAATTGTCTGTCGATTTTTCATAAAAAGTGACAAAACTTTTCCCAGTGGTAGGGTTGTCAATTATTAGTTTGATAATAAAACTAGTGAAATTCCGCGGTTTCTTATGCGCAAGCGTATATATAACAGAAGTATATATAACCTTTACTTTTACATAAATACCCTGAAAAATACTTATTGTTGTACACGTGGGTGAATTATTCTACCGAAGTGCTAACTTCATTTAGTATGATATATGAGGTTGATCTCATAAACTCTAAGAAATTATCATCGTATGAAACACAAAAACAATTCGGGATTCTCACAGACATACCATTTTAAATCAAGTCAACAAATATCATTAAAAATCTTGACGACTGACGAATATGTTTTAATGTGGTATGAAGATAATATAAATTTTTCTTGATTACCAATTTTCGATTGCTTAATTTAGCCATTTATATACCTACCCGCCTTATCACGTTGATCTATAAAAATTCTAAAACCATGCCAAAGATGTCAAGCTATTATAACCTGATTAAAATATACCTGATTGAAATACAAAATTACCGATATTTATTTTTTAGTTATTATTATTTTGTAAGCATAATTATATTACTGCGTAAGTACAGATTGTTACCTACGAAATGTACGTTAAAACCAAATAATATTGATGTTTTCTGAATTTTTAACATATAAGTTGTTTAGTTTGTTTGTGGCTACAAGATGGCAGCCCTGAAAGTTTCTCCATAAAAGGACTAAATGTTCAAAATACATGCCTAAATTTGCCTACCTTCTAAATTAAAAAAAATTAAAAGTTTTACACTTTGTGACATGGATAAGTAGGAACAATAAACCGTTACTATAAGGAAGCGGAATCTGTTTATTTGAAAACAAATTTTCAAATGCGATATTTTCACCTAGGCAAAGTAGAGGAAATGCTATTAACTGTGCCTGGCCTTTTCAAAGCTTATTTCTCAGAAAATATAAGGTGTAGGCTATAGTGGGTTGTTTTTCTAGGCGTATAAAATTCTGATTTGCAATTATTTTTACATGTCAAATATCAATTTTCTATTAGTGTCAAAAATATCACAAAAATCTCAAAATTCGTGCAGAGTTAGGGCATTTTACGGTATATTGATATTTATTTTAGAGTATTGAATTGGTATCAATTTCTATATATTTTAAACTGTTGCATTAATGGGCAAAACATGAAACAACAAAAGGAGCTAAAAAGCATTCATGTGTGGTTGTGGTTGGTTTTTTCGTCGTCCAACCGTCAATAATGTAAAATGTTTGGCCTTATCCTTACATCATGCAAATGATGCCGATATATTGATATTTATCACGCGGTATATATCGATACTGTTTAAAATATCGATTCGATATATATCGATACATTTTTCCCTTGCCCATCCCTAGGAGAGACGTTTCCTCTTGAATGAACTTCACACAAACAAAATCTTATTTCGAATATTAAGTGTTTTGTTGAAATTTTGTAGACGCGATCAATGAAATAACTACTGTGTATGGTTTTTCTGATTTCCATTCAAACGTGTAGTTTCAAAGGAGAACAAGTAGAGTTCGTAATTATTAAGAGAACTATTACACAAAAAAGCGAAAAGGTTAGGTTTCCTCGCTGAAATTGTGCGTTTTTCGTTCGTTGCATTAAATAACTTAATGATTTCTTATATTTACACGAAC